GGGGGGCTGGCGGGGAGGCAGGGGCCGGGAGGGCGGGACCTGGGCGTGGAGATCGTGGAGATGCCCCTAAGGGATAGGGGCACCCCCTAGGCGGCCCGCTGGCGTTATTTTCCCCGCTAGTCACTCTTCCTTGTCAAAGGTGGGTTGGGGGCTGCCCCTGTAATCGGGGCTCCTGGACTCAGGCCCCGGATTTAACGGGATATGCAAATTGTCCGGCACCTAAAAGAGGGAAAGAGAATTGTAGGGTTAGGCAGGTGGGAGGGACTTGAGTCGAATCTGAGGCCAGCACTCATCCTTCATCTCGCTCCCCTCGTCCCGTGCAAACTCTTTGGCCCCAGTAAAATCCGGCTTCTCTTCATCTTTTCATTCGCTCAGGCATTCACTCATTTATTCAGCCGATTGTTACTGAGTCTCCACTCTCTGCCCTGGCTCTAGGCGCTGTGGACATAGCAACTGAACAAAACAGACGGACTCCTGCCCTCTAGGAGTGTACCTTCTCCCCACAGAAGACAGACAGTAAACTAAATAAGCAAATGATGAGGTGTGTAATGTGATGACAGGTGTTAGGCTGAAATAAAGTAAGGAGAGGGAAATACAGTGAGGCGTTTGTAGGGTGGATTTGAAATGTTAAGTGGGTACTTGGGAAGTCACTGAAGTGATATTTGAGGAAACCTGAAGGGAATTGAGGGAGGAAGCGAGCTGCTATCTGGGAGTGGGGGTGAGGGAGGTCAGAGACCTGGGGAAGGGACATAGAGTATCTTGGTTATTTGTTAAGTTTTTTCCTTTCTGTCTGAGATCCAGGTTGGACATTCAGTCAAAGGGATGCACTCCCAAAGGTGGGTGAATGGTACTTAGAAGAGAAAGTATGGGGAAAGAAAGAAAGAAAGAAAGAAAGAAAGAAAGAGAGAGAGAGAGAGAGAGAGAGAAGGAAGGAAGGAAGGAAGGAAGGAAGGAAGGAAGGAAGGAAGGAAGGAAGCCAAAGAACTTTATGTTAGTTCACATTTATCCAACAATTATTATGTCCTAGACAGTGTGCTGAGTTCTTTTTGCGTTTTCTCATGACTCTCATGAGATAAAGAATATACTCTGCATCATTTCTATTTCATGGATGGGACACCAAATTACGGGGAAGTTTAGCTGTTTGCCTAAGTTCACAAAGCCATGGAGGAGAGCTGCTGGGAACTGAACGCAACTGTGGGGTCTCTCCCAAAGTTGGATACTCAGCTACTGTGTCACACTTTTCCCCCTGGGGCAAAGTAGGGGATGGAACCACTGTTGTAGATGGAGCTGCCTTTTGAGTAGTTAATTTTGGGGACTGAGTCACTGGTGCTGGGCAGGGACTCCCATGAATTGAGCACTTACTGATACCCATGCATTTACTCATTTTCTTTGACTCTTTACAATTCTTTGAGAGAAGCATAACCATTGCTCATTGACAGATGAGAAATAGTGGTTCAGAGAGAGCCAGTTGATTCCTGAGGTCATAGGCTAGTAGATATACGGCAGAGCAATGGGTAGTGGCAGCTGGAGATTGAAAAGTAAAGCCTGATACCTTCTTTTACTCCAGTTCACAAGCCTGCATCTTGGGTTTCTCATCTTCTGCTCTTGATAGTCGTTATAACTTGATATTCACGGGTAGGGAAATCAGAAGTCACTCAGGGTGACTTACATCTAAGCTTCTCAATGTAGAGGTAAGTTCTTAACCTCTTTTTATTTTTATTTTTTGAGAAGGGAGGCAGGTGGTTATCACACACCTTTCGAAGGTTTTAATTTACTCCCAGCAAAATGCACAGCCTCTACAAATGTGCAAAATACACAATTTCAGGAGGTTTCCCTCGGGTTAAGAAATCTATGGTAGAGACAGCCCTGAAAATAGATTTTTTTTTCTATTATAATTAAATTGCCCTAAGCTGTATTTGAAAATTTGAAAATAAGAGATTCACAAGTTTATAATGATTTAGATCTTCAGACGCTCTCAGAACCCTGGTTTGCTTATCTTCCTATGTTGGAGGTGGTGTACTAGGGAAACGGACCTGGCAAGCCGGACAGGTGCAGAGCTGGTTAGCAAACTCTGTTTCCCTGGCCTACAAGACAGTGCTCCTTCTGCTACTGCAGCCACTCATGACCTACACAGTGGGGTGTGAGACTGGAATAACTTGGCAGCCCTCTGCCAGGGGTCTGTATTAAAAGGAGAGGCTGTCCTTGGTCCTGGGTGGCTCAGACTAGTCTGTCTGCAGATAGGAGCCAGCTTAGATGATCTTTGAGATCCTGTAGCTCCAGGTGGTCAGCTTCTCTTGCTGGATAAAGTGGCCCCTGAAGGCACCTGCTGTCCTTTCTCTCATGTATTTTCCAGGGAAAGGGTGAGAGTGAGGTATCATGAACTCAGTTCCCACCATTCCCAATGTATTTTCAAGTCTAAGATAATGGGGCTTCTTTTGAGGTGGTTTACTTACAAGGGGGGAGGGAGGAGGAAGAAAATACCAGTAACCTGGCATGTAGCTGGCATTAGCACAAAGACAGGGGTGTAGGGGAGGGTAAGGGTGGGATAGAATAAAGAGCAAGTTCCAAATCCACATTTTGATTGTGGTGGCCCATTTCCCACTTCCCTGGGCATTAATTTCACCAGCTATTGAACAGCCAGCAACACACCATTGAATTTACTGAGGCTGTGTCTACATAATCACAGTAACCAGCTGCAATGTGAAAACTCAGCCTATCAGACATTTTTCTGTGGTGGCAAAAGGCCAGGAGGAAAAAAAGAGCAAATCTGAGATTCAGAGATGGTTTATCCTCATTGTGAAAGAAAATAGTTTGTTACCTAGATGAGAACTTATGTCTTGATTCAGGTGTCAGGATGTGGAAGAAATTATTGAGCCAGATTGACAAGTTCAAAATCCTTGCAGGTTTCAGACTTGTTGTCATTTACCAGTGTCTTTCGTGAAGACAAAACAAAGATCTCATTGTAAGGAGAACAGGTATTAGCCTTAATAGCAGCCATGTAGCAGGACCCCACTCAGCAACCTTTGCTAATGGTGCTTTCCTTGCTGCTCCTCCCCTCCCTTTGCTGGAGATGCCTCTTAACCCCTCTGGCTGATTTTTGACCCATGGACTTGACCATTTGTTTAGGTGTCATGAGAATACAGACGATATTTCATTTTCTCGGTACTCCCTGGGGCAAAGCCAAGCACAGAGCTCTGACTCACTCGACGCTTGTGGAAGAAGAATCTTTTCATTATCCGTCTTATTGCATTAGAAACCTCTGATGTTGCAGAACTCCCGTTTCTGTGAACCCTCCAGGGGAAGCTGCCACTGAAGTTGACCTGTAGGGAAACTGAAGCTATGGGAGATTCAAGGATCTGCTTAAGATATCTATGGGAGGAGATCTGTCATCTGTGATCATGCAAATTTTCATGGTGCTCTCTCTAGCTTTCAATTTGACCAGGCTTATAGAGAAGCATGTACTCTGTGTAAGCACCGTGCTAAGTACCGTGGGTGAATCAACACTGAGCTAGGTGCTGTGGGAGATGATGATAACGCTAAAGCACTTTTAAGAGGGTGCCTACTGTGTGCCAGGCACTGTGTTAGGCAATCTATGTGCATTTCCTCAACTATTCACAACAGTGCAAGGGAGGAATTCTTTCCATTTTACAAATGAGGAAACTGAGGTTCAGAGAGGTTCTGTGACATGGCCAAGGCCATTCGGTGAGTAAGTAGCATTGGTATTCAAAGCATTGTTGTCTGGCTCCAAAACTTGCATCCTTCTCTCTGCACCAGACTGAGATTAAAACAAGAAAAAGGCAGCAGAAGGCTCAATATTAGCCTGAAGGAAATAACAGCAGAAAACAGAATGTGACCAGGGTCCTGAATAAGGCAGAGGTCAGGGAGGGGAGGGCAAAGGAGAGCTGTCTGGGAGAAAAGGTTCCTCAGTGGAGCACCTTAGGTTAGTCTTCCTTGCCTTCCAGGCCAGCACTTGATCTGCTGAGGGAGTTGAGAGCTAACTTGGATTTTAACTGCACTTCTGTCATTTAATGTTTACTGTGACTCTGGGCAGGAGAGTGAAGTGATGAAGAGCCTGGATCAGACATACCTGGGTTTATGTCCCACTTCCACTAATTTATTAGCTGTGTGTTCTTGGGCAAGTCACTTAACCCCTCTGGGCCCAGTTTTCTCACCTGTGAAATGAAGATCAGAATAGTTCCTAGCTCTACAGGGCTATGGTGAGGATGACATGTGAAAATGTGTGTAAAGTGCTCAGCACAGAGTAATAGTAATACTATCTGCTAGGAGTTAGTGCTTGCTAGGTGCCAGGCGCTGGGCCCAAAGTGCCTTCTGTATATTATCTTATTTAATCCTAATGATAACATTATGAGGTAGGTACTATTATTATTGACATTTGATAGATGAGGAATCTGAGGCCCAGAGTGGTTAAATGACTTGCCCGAGGCCACAGGACTAACAAGTGGCACAGCTGAAATACAAAATACCCAGTAAA